CTGATAAACTCTAAATTAGGAACACATTTTATAGCTTCAAACTCGGAAAAAAAGAATGGTGTGGTTATTTATGTAAATAAAAGATTGTCTGCTAAAATTATAGAAGCAGATGAAGGTGGTAGGTTTATTGCAATTGAATTGCATACAGCAAATGGCCAAATTCTTCTGATTGGAATTTATGCTCCGAACCAACAACAGGATCATTTTTATAAGACTTTACATAATAAAATATTGCAATGGGATTATAGATCTATTTTAATAATGGGAGATTGGAATGGAGTAATTGATTCTAAACTAGATAAAAAGAGTTTGGCGAAAGTAAGGATCAGACTACCACAGACTTTTTTTGATATGAAAGAAGATTTGGAATTAAAAGATATCTGGAGAATTTATAACCCAAAAGAATTGGACTATACTTTTTTCTCTGATAGACATAGATCTTTTTCCAGGATTGACTTTATCTTGTTATCAGATGATTTACTTGTTAAAACAAAAAGAACAAAGATATTTCCAAGAACTTTAACTGATCATAGTTCTGTATGGATAGAAATTGAGATGGGAAAAACTGAGAGGTCATGGAGATTAAATGAAAATTTGTTTAGATATGAAAAAAATATAACAGAACTTAAAAAACAGATGAAAGAATTTTTTGAGATGAACTTGAATAAGGGCACCCCAATTGAAATCGTATGGGATGCAAGTAAAGCGTATATGAGAGGGGTACTCATTTATATGAACTCTAAACACAAACAGAATCGACAAAAGAAAAGACTCGAATTGGAAGTAGAAATAAAGAATAAGGAACAGCTACTCATTAAAAACCCAACAGATGAAAGAATATCTGGTGCTATAAAACTTTTTAAAGATCAATTTCAAATGCTCTTGGCGGAGCAAGCTGCAACAAACTTACAATATGCGAAGCATAATACGTTTTGTAATGCTAATAAACCGGGAAGATGGTTGGCCTACGCCTTAAGGAAGAAGCAGAGTATACGGACTATTGAGAGTATTGATATTGGAGGGAAAGAAATTTCTCAACAAAAATTGATTAAAGAAGTCTTTGTAGACTACTACACTAAATTATATGCTAAAGATGATATACAGAATGGACCTATAGAAAAATATCTAGAAGAGAAAAGAGTCTCAAAAATTACTAGTCAACAAAAAGAAAGAATGAACTACCCTATAACAGTTGAGGAAATAATTGCAGCAATTAAACAATTGAAAACAGCTAAAGCTCCTGGAACAGATGGATTGACTGCAGTGTATTATAAAACTTTACAAGCAGAAATGGTGGAACAACTTAGAGACTTATTTTGCAATATACAACAAGGGGGTAAAATACCCCCATCATGGAAATCAGCATATATTACTTTGATACCAAAAGAACAAGTAGGTCCTAAAAAACCGGAAAATTATAGACCAATATCTCTTTTAAATAATGATTATAAAATTTATGCAAAAGTATTAGCCAACAGATTGATGCCAGTAATTCAAGAGGTGATTCATGATGATCAAGCGGGATTTATCGAGGGCAGATATATGAAGGACAATGTAAGGCAAGTAATAAATTTATTGGAATATCTTGAGAAGAATAAACAGATCCCTGCAGTGCTGGTCTTTTTGGATGCAGAGAAGGCCTTTGATAGAGTGGATTGGAATTTTCTATTAAAGACTTTGAAAAAGATGGACTTTGGGGATCAATTTATACAGGCGATTTCGGCAATTTACCAAGAGCAAAAGGCACAGATTATTATTAATGGAAGTTTGACAACAGAGTTTAAAATTGAAAAAGGAACAAGACAGGGATGCCCGTTGTCCCCACTCTTATTTATTTTAACACTAGAAGTCTTGCTAAATACAATACGGGACTCTAATATCTTGAAAAGTATAAAGATTAGGCAAGAGGATTACAGAATAAAGGCATTTGCAGATGATCTGGTTGTTACCCTATCACAACCAATGGAATCAATAATCTTGATGAAGGACATTATACAAGATTATGGTAAAGTTTCAGGTTTCAGATTGAATCCAAAAAAGACTAAAATGATAGTTAAAAACATGACACAAGATCGCAAACATGAGCTTGAAAGGAGGGCAGGTTTTGAGACTGTACCTAAGGTAAAATATCTAGGAGTTCAGGTTGCAGAATCAAACATGAAATTGTTTCAAAATAACTATGAGGTGTTGTGGCGAGAGGTGCAGAAAGATATGGAGACTTGGAAAAAACTGCAGCTGTCTCTACTTGGAAGAATAGCAGCAGTTAAGATGAATATTTTGCCAAGATTTCTTTTTTTGTTTCAAATGATTCCGGTGCTTAAAAGTGATAAACAATTGAAAGTTTGGCACTCTGGAGTGAATAAGTTTGTCTGGAACGAGAAGAAGCCGAGAGTGAAATTGAAAATTATGCAAGATGTTCCAGAAAGAGGAGGTCTTAAACTTCCAAACCTACAGCTATATTATGATGCAGCAGCTTTAACCTTAACAAGTGATTGGTTTGGAAGTAAAAAGGCTGGAATATTGAATGCAGAAAGTTTTGATCTTGAATTTGGATGGCACGCTTATTTATTTTATGATGACAAAGTTGATAAAGTATTTAAAAGTCATATACTTAGAGACTCTTTGATGAGAGTTTGGAAGAAGCACCGACTCAAATGGGATTATAAAATACCGCTATGGCTGGATCTTGGTCATACTTTGTGGAATATAAATATAATGTCACTCGGGGGTTTTTTATACAAAGAGGTTCTTTTTACAGATGCGGGCAGATGGCAGCTGAAGACTTTGCAGACACTGTTGGACGAAGGGATTAATTTAACTTGGTTACAATATAATCAATTACAATCGAGATGGAAAGAGGACCAAAAAACTGGTATTATGTTGCATGAGGAAGAATTGGTTAGACATATAAGAGAGAAAGGTCCAATGCATATCAAAAGGCTTTATAATGTTTTGCTAGAAAGGGACTCAGAATCTGAATTAGTTAAAGACTGTATGATTAAGTGGGCACAAAATTTTGAAGAACCAGTGATGTTGGAAACATGGGAAAAAATTTGGGTTCAGAATGTTAAATTTACACAGTCGCAGAATTTGAGGGAAAATTTTTACAAAATGTTTTATAGATGGCATCTAGACCCTAAGAAACTGTCGTGTATGTACCCTAATGTTCAGCCAAAATGTTGGAGGTGTGATTGTACAGATGCTACATATTATCATATTTGGTGGACCTGTAAGAAAGTTAAGGCTTTTTGGATAAAAATTTGGTGGGTCATGCAGAATGTTTTGAAGAAAAAAATTCAATTTTCTCCACAATTGTTTCTATTGGGTATAGCTAAGGGTTTTACAGTGGATGAAACAAAGTTGATTTTGTATATGATTACAGCAGCGAGATTGTTGATAGGTAAATATTGGAAAAATGAAGCTTTGCCTACCGTTCAAGAATGGATTTTGAAGATGGCCAGTTTCGCTGAGATGGCGAAGATTTCAGCATATTTAAAAGACCGCTCACAAGAGACTTATGAATGTGAATGGAAAAAATGGATAGATTATGTGCAGAACAAATATCAAACTAGGAAGTATCAAATAGCTTTTTATTGATAGTATTATATTATATTAAGATAGAAATATTTGAACTATGTGAAGATGAAAAATGATATGGGGGTTGGGGGGGTTTAAAGCTCAAGGTTTTTTTTATATAAAGGGGACAATGATGGGGTATACTCTATGGAAGTCCGGGGGGAGGGGAGGGTTAGGGGGGGGTTAGGGAGGGTGGGTTGGGGAGTTCGGGGTGGGTTAGGGGGGTGAAAATGGGGTGAAAATGTAATTGTAAAACTTTTACAATAAAAAAAAAAAAAGAAAAGTTATTTTTTCAAATCACAAAACGCCAATGGGTCTAGGCTGCCTAGTCCTACACAATCCACAGTGTTTATTTTTATTTTATTTATTTATTTATTTTGTCAAGCATATATAAAATAACAGGTAAAAGTATAAACATAATTTGAATACGTGAAAAGAGTAAGTAAAAAGGAATATTAGGACAGAGACGGTAGGCACCCTGGTGCACTTAATGCACACCCCTTACAGACCACTTAGGAATGGGGTGAGGTCAACAGTAGACAGTTTAAGGTTAAAGTTTTGGGGGTTTGGGGAAGAAACCATATGCACAGGTAGTGCATTCCAGGCATTGGCCACTCTGTTACTGAAGTCATATTTTCTGCAATCGAGTTTGGAGCGGTTGACCTTGAGTTTATATCTATTATTTGCTCGTGTATTGTGGTTGAAGCTGAAGTAGTCATTGACAGGAAGGACATTGTGACAGATAGTTTTATGTACTATGCTTAGGTCAGACTGAAGTCGGCGTAGTTCTAAATTGTCTAAGCCCAAAATTTGGAGTCTGGTGACATAAGGTATTTTATTGCAGGTAGAGAAATGGAGGACTCTTCTCGTAAAATATCTCTGGAATCTCTCAATTGTATTTATGTCCAATATGCAATGTGGGTTCCAGACAGATGAACTGTATTCAAGAATTGGTCTAGCAAATGTTTTGTATGTTCTAGTTAGTAGTACAATATTACCAGAGAAGAAGCTATGCAAGATTAAATTAACAACTCTTGATGCCTTTTTGGCAATGTTGTTACAGTGGGCTCTGGCACTTAGATCTTTAGAAATGAGTTTAGAAATGAGTTTTGCTTCTGTCAAAAGCATATATGATCTCTAAGAATTCAGAGCAAAAAATGAAAGAGAGAATCACTGTTTTGCACTGCCACTACGTGCCTTATCCAAAGGATCAGTCTTTGTGATAAACCATATATGGGCAGCGGCATACCTGCAAAATTGTCTCAGGTTCAACAAATGATTTCTGTATGTATTGAGCAATTGTACACAAAGATATCATCATTTAGTAATATAGCTTTCACTGGTAGGAATGTTTAGGCAAGAAAAATTATTGTCTTGAACCACTGTGAAAATCTGTGATGTATTCCTTGGTTTTGCTTCCATAGACACAGAAAAGCCACAGCAGAATCAGACTGACAATTCCATTCCTGAGGATGGCTCCCTGAGAAAGAAGCAACGTAGGCAGAGAACTCATTTTACCAGCCAGCAACTACAGGAGCTGGAAGCCACTTTTCAAAGGAATCGGTATCCAGACATGAGTACCCGAGAGGAGATTGCTGTCTGGACCAACTTAACGGAAGCCAGAGTTCGGGTACAATTATTTTCTTTTTAATTTACTTGAAAATGACCAGAATGTGAAGGAAAAGGCTGATTAAAAGTCAGATAGCAGAACAAGCATGTGCATGTGACTGTATCTTTGTGCCTTCCTCCCTTTTGAGAAAGTAGGGCAATTAAAGTTTACCTAAAGAATATATTCCTAAAATTTTAATGAAGCATTATATAGCATACTTTTAAAACATTTAAAACATTATCACAATACTTCTTACAGTGAACTCTGTTAGAAGATGTAGCTAGGAAAATCCCTTTCCCCTAAAAGAACCAAAAGAATTTCCTATAAAGTGTGGCTTTTTAAAAATATTTTTTAAAAATAAATTTAAGTTTAAAAAGTCAAACATAACTACTGTGTTTTCCTGAAAGTAAGACCTGGTCTGTCATATTTTCTTTTGGGCCCCAAAATAAGCACCAGGTCTTATTTTCGGGGGATGTCTTACCCACTTACCTTAGGACTACTGCAGCCAGGCCTCCCATGCCCTGATACCTCTTGTGCCACTGCCCGACTTCTTCTGTGGGTATTCGCTCGCGGCCAGCCACCATATGGCACATTGCATTGGTTCCACTGCTTGCAGCAGGATGCTGAGTGGCTCATCACGCCAGTGCCACCGTTTGTGGCAGAAGGCCACATGGCACATTGTGCTGTTGCATGTGCAAGCACCAGCACCGGTGCGATGCACCGTGAGGCATCTGGCAGAAGTCGGGCAGTGGCGCGACAGGTGTTGGGGTGTGGAAGGCCTGGCTGTGGTGGTCCTAAGGTAAGCAGGTGCGGGGTGCATGGGGCAGCTCCACCCCCGCCCTAGCTTGATTTTTACACATGTGCCTCGCCCCACCTCATACAACCAGACAGTAGGATGGGGTCTTAACTAGGATTATTTTTGGTTATAGTTTATATTAGGCACACACATACAAATCAAGCTAGGGCTTATTTTTGGGATAGGTCGTACTTTTGGGGAAACACGTTAACATAAACTAAGAAAAATAGAAAATAAAAAAGTGCATAGAGAAAAAAGGGAGGAAAAAATTAAAAAGATGTATAAGGAAATGACTTCTCCATTCATCAAGACAAATACAATTTCAGTAACTTATAACTTCCCTAAAATTTCAGTCAATAATCTCTTCATCCCATATCTTTTCTTTTCTCTCCCCCCCCCTTTTTTTTGTGAGATAGCAACAATTATTTTAGGGCAGGGGTTCCCAAACTCTTCAGCTCATTGACCCCTCCATGAAGTTTCAGATTGTTCGTCAACCATCAACCATTATATTACAATAAGTTAAAAAATACTATTTTAACTAATACTATTATATGAATAATAATAAGTAGATCATCAATTTATAATACAAAATAAAGGATTCATACAAATGGAATTGGAAGAACTGCAAAAGTCTACCCAAGGCAAAGAAATCAAAGCCTTCCAGAAGTAATTTGGACTATCGAGGCAAACCAGGGGTCAGGTTTTGATATCATCTCAAATAAATTGCATTCCCAAACAATTAATCTTTGCTGAAATATTCCATTTATTGAGTACGACAGATCTGGCCCCGACTTCATCGTAGCCGATACTAACCCTCTGACCCCCAAACCCTTCCCTTTCCATTCCCCAATTCTCATCTTCTCATTGGCCATCTTCCAAATCAGTCTCCCCAGCTTCTGACCTCACTCCACAGGAATGTCTCCCCTCCCATCCCATCTCCTAGGGCAGTGATGGCTAACCTTTTTGCTGTTGTGTGCCAAAAGCGGGGGTAATGGGGGGGATTGCACGCTCGTATGCCCACACCCATAATTCAATGTGCCCTGTCCCCCCACGCATGCGCGCATGAACCCCCCTGCTCTCCCCTCGCTTTTGGCACGCAATGGCATGGTGGGCTCGGTAGGCCCATTTTTTTGCCCTCCCCAGGCTCCAGAGCCTTTCTAGGAGCCTGGGGAGAGTGAAAACAGCCTTCCCCACTCCCCCAGAGGCCCGGAAACAGCCCATTTCCCGACTTCCGGTGGGCCCGGAAGGCCCAAAAATCAGTTGGCCAGCGTGCACATGCGTGCTGGACTGAGGTAGGACAATGCTCGTGTGCCCACAGATATGGCTCTGTGTGCCACCTGTGGCACCCATGCCATAGATTCGCCATCACAGTCCTAGGGGATATTATCTACAGAGAAAATAAGTAGGTGAAAAGTCAAGCCTCGTCTCCTCCTTTTTATGGCAGCATCAGAATGCTGACATCCGGCCCCCCTCCCTTCATTTTTCCAGGGAGGCCTGTTTCAAGAAAAAACTCAATTAAGTACCGTTACCCCATCCAAGGATGTGTCCCACCCCCTCCCGCCTTGCCCATGTGATCTGCATGGAATTTGGCTATGAGGCGATCAGCCTGGATATTTGTGCTCTTCACCCAGGAAGCCTCTGATAAGGGGTAACCCTTCCACTTAATTAAGTATTGGAGGTGCCCCCTATTCCACCTCGAATCGAGAATTCGCTGTACCTCATAGTGAGTGTGGCCCCCAACAACCAGGGGCTCGGGGGGGGTCACTTGGCACCAGCCTTAAAGTTGACCTCATCACAGGCTTCAGGAGGCTGCTGTGGAAAACGGGGTGTATCTTCCCTAGTAGCCAGGGCAACCACAGTTGTACTGTAACCGGGTTGATTATTTTTTCTATAGGGAAAGGTCCTATATATTTCGGGCCCAATTTCTTGCTCGGGAGTCTAAGTCTCAAATACTTGGTGGAGAGATAAACCTTCTCCCCCACTCGAAATGGTCTTTGGGGAGTTTGGTGCTTGTCTGCTTGTTTCTTATAGGATTGTGCCGCCTTGGCCAATGCCCTCTTAACATTCTCCCAGGTTTCCCTCAACATATCCATCCAATCGGTCAAGCTGACTGAGGAAGGGGGATCCCTTGGGTACTCTGGCATGGGGACGAAATCCATACCACTCACTATTTTAAACGGGGTTAATCCCGTGCTACTGTGGACAATGTTATTATATGCGACCTCCGCAAACGATAGGAGGTCTGCCCAATTGGACTGTTGGTAGTTGACGTAGCATCTTAAATACTGCTCTATCATGGCATTCAGTCTTTCTGCCCCCCCCCCCATTGGTGCTCGGGTGAAACGCTGAGCTGAGGCCTTGGGATGAACCTATGGATCGTAGGAACTCCCTCCAAAATTTTGCTGTGAATTGGACCCCTCGGTCAGAGATGATTCTTCTGGGTACTCCATGCAGGCTCCAAACTGTTTCAGGAACAGTTTGGATAATTGGCGGGCTGAGGGTAGCCCGCTGCAGGGTATGAAGTGTGCCTGTTTGGAGAATAAGTCTATTACAGTCCAGATCACTGTGTTGCCACCACTTCTCGACAGTTCTACTATGAAATCCATCGCAATCTCCTCCCATGGTCTCGTTGATTCAGCTACTGGTTGCAGCAGCCCGGGAGGGCATCCTGGTCATCTCTTCATCATGGCGCAGACGGTACAACTTTTTACGTAACTGTCTACGTCCTTTCTCATGTGGGGCCACCAGAACTGTCTCCGTGCTAAGTGCAGAGTCTTTAGGAAGCCAAAATGTCCTGCTGGTTTAACATCGTGGCTCCTTTTGAGGATCAGGGTGCGTAGCGTCTGTGGGACATAGAGTTTTGTCCCCTTCCATACTAGGTCATCCCTTTTTGTCAAGAGGTGTTGATTGTCTCGAAACCAGGGGTCCGCTGCTATTTCAGTTTTGAGTCTTGCAGGTTGGCCCTGCTGGTTGCGTCGTTGCCGTCTGGTGACCACCTGACCCACTGCCTGGGTGGAGGGGATGATGGCATTCACTACCTGCTCCCGCTCACTGTTGTATTGGGGCATCCGGGAGAGGGCATCAGCCAGAAAGTTCTTTCCCCCTGGGATGTGCTTGAGCTCGAAGTTGAAGCGATTGAAGTATTGAGCCCACCAGGCCTGCCTGGGCGACAATTTCTGTGGGGTTCTGAGGGTCTCCAGATTCTTATGATCAGTCCAAACTTCAAACGGTTTCTGGCCTCCCTCTAGTAGGTGCTGCCAGGTCAACAATGCCCATCTCACCGTGAACGCTTCCTTCTCCCACGCCGCCCATCGCCTCTCCGTATTGGTGAGCTTGAGGGAGGTGTAGGCACAAGGTTTTTTGTTTTTTGTTTTAATTTGATTTATATGCCGCTCTTCTCCGGAGACTCAGGGCGGCTTACAGTGCGTTAAGCAATAGCCTTCATACTTTTGTATATTTTATACAAAGTCAGCTTATTGCCCCCACAAACTGGGTCCTCAATTTACCTACCTTAGAAAGGATGGAAGGCTGAGTCAACCTTGAGCCTGGCAAGAGTCGAACTTACTTTAATTGCAGACAGCTGGTGTTAAATTGCAGTGCCTTGTCTGCAAAGCTATCCAGGCTGCTTGTAGATTACCTTGGCTGTTCTTTTGGAGCAGCAAGGCCCCCACTGCCACATCGCTTGCATCTGCTTGGATGACAAAGGGCTGTTCAGGGTCAGGATGCTTTAAGACAGGTTCTTTTGCAAACATCTCTTTTAGTGTCTCGAATGCCCATTAGCAGGTCAGGTCTCACTGTAGGGGTTGTCCCAGGTGGGGTTTCATCGCCGGACTCCCTGTCTTTAGGAGGTCCATCAGAGGTTTGGCAATTCTTGCGAACGAGGGGATGAATTGTCTGTAGAAGTTCGCGAACCCTAGGAAGCTTTGCAGTTGTCTGTGGGTGCGAGGGGCTGCCACTGTAGAACTGATTGGACTTTGGCTGGGTCCATCTCTATTCAAATATTCCATCTCTGACCAAACTAAATAATAATTTTAATTAGCAATTTTATGATGTTTGTGTGTCTATATTTTTCTTTGTACACCGCCTTGAGTCCTACGGGAGAAAGGCGGTATAGAAATATAATAAATAAATAAATAAATAAATAAATAAATAAATAAATAAATAAATATTCCTTCAGTTGATACTCGGTAGCCTAGGTAGTCTAGTCGTGATTGGTGGAACTCGC